CTGAAATACTCCTTGGAGCTGGGACCTTTGAAGGTAAGTAGGTCAAAGCGAACCCTCACTTGAGACATGCCAAGAGGACAGTTGCTTCTAAACTCAGAAGAGCACCAGCGCCAATAATCTGACCATGCTAGCACCCTGATCTTGGCTTCCCCAATCTGCAGAACTGTGAAAAATCAATGTTATATAAGCTGTCCTGTTTATAGTGCTCTGTTGTCACAGCTTGACCTGACCAAGACACGAAGCATAGAAATATTTAGCCCTTTGAAAGCATTCTGCTGCTTTAAACTTAAGCTATCCGTTAGTTTGTCGAAGCCCACCTTGCAGTGTACTATGATGGGGGAAAAAGAAGTAAAATTGGATTTATAGTTTGTTTCAGTGTGAGGAAGTTGAGCTCGATATGAAGTAAAGTTTCTAACAGAGAAGTATATTAAGAATTAAAGCGAATTCCAAAGGAAGATTAGAATTTTCCAAAAATATGCTTAAATATTTACTAAACTACCTGGCATTCTTGAGGCTGTACGTTGCATAGATGATCTCAGGGTTTCTTTATTTTGTATCAGTTTGTCACTTTTTGTAACTATTTAAATTATAAAATATGATGTTTTGATCTACATATACTGCTTGCTGTGCGTACTGCAGTCAGGCAGATCCACACATCCGTTAACTCACATAGTTACCTCTGTCCATGTTTGTGGCAAGAGCACCTAAACTATGCTTTCTTAGCACATTTCCAACAAACAATATATTTCATTTCTACACGCACTTATTCTATTTTACAGCATCTTTGTACGCTTTCCTGCGTCTTCCTATTTCATGCCAGTCTCTGCCCTGGGAACTACCATCCTACTCTGATTCCACACATTCAACTGCTTCAAAAACTTTCACAAGTAAGTGGGATCGCAGTAATTTTGCATGTGTCTGGATTATTTCACTTATGTTCTCCAGCTTCATCTGTGCTGTTGTGATGACGGATCTCCTTTTAAAAAGCTGAGCAACATTCCATTTTAAGTACATATTTTCCTTTACTTATTTATCTCAACACATTTAGATTGGTCCATATTTTGCTTACTTTGAATAAGCCAATGTTGAATACAGAAGCAGAAGTACATGGTGCATGTTTTCTTTCCTCTGGGTGCTTATTTCAATCCAGTTATGGATTTCTGGGACTTTGGCAGTTCTATTTTGGGGGAACTTCCATACTATTTTCTATGGTGACTGCACTAATACATGTTTCCATAGTAGTATACAGTATATGAAAACTCCTTTTTCACAGTTAGGCCCCCTTCGCTGTAGGTGTTCAGTATTTTGACTCAGCAAGGAGAAAAGTAATGAAGACAACAACCTAATACACAGTCACTAAGAACAAGGTAAGTCCCCTGAGGACCAAAGGGCACCAGGGCAGAGTGAGATAGCTCACAAAGTGTCTCCAGGGACCTTGGCGTAAGAGCTGAAAGGTGTAAACTTTATGTTGACACATTTGAGCTGAGTGCCTAAAGACGCATATTTCTTTTAAAGGCTTTTGTTGTGCCTTCTAAGTTCAAACATATATTGAGTATTACAAAATAGAGAATCATCACATTCTGGCCTCATTCTAGGAAAAATAGCCAGTGCCTTTTATAGAGACTGTTAGCACTTTGATTTACTAAATAAATGGAATAAAACTTGATGATTTTAGATTTAAGTTATCTCACAATTAACAAAACTATAGTATTGTAAATAAAAGGGAATAAGATAGTTTAATGGTGATTCGAAGTATTAAGTATAAATTAAATTCATTCAACAAATGTTTGTTAAGCATTTACTATATGCCAGGCACTGTGCTAGGGCTATGGATGAGAAGATGAAGAAGTTAAACATTTTTCTTATTCATGAAAAATATTCTAGTCTCTAAGACAAAAAATCAAGCAGAATTTATAACATAAGCAAAACAGTGAGTTTAAAAAGCTAAAGACAGTGTGTGTGGTGGCCCATGCTTGTGATCCCAGCACTTGGGAGGCTGAGACAGGAGGTGCTGTAGTCAGGGTTTACAAAGGAATGTGTTTAATAGGGAACACTTAATCTATAAGATTATTTAGTAATATTCACCCAGAGAGTCAATCGCCAAAGAGTGCAGGAGATCTATCCACACACTAGAGACTCAAAGAATCCAGTTGAGGGCCATGACAGTGTCCTACAGCAGTCCCACTGGAAGTCTAGAGCCCACGGCAATGTCTCATGCAAGTCTGTACAGATGATCTGCACTGGGAAGGCTCAAAGGTCAGTGGTAGGAGCTGGAAAGTCTGCATCAGCAGAATGGAGGCTCTGTGCCAGCAGGCTGAGGGATCTGCACTGGAGCCAGGAAGCTCTGTTCAAGGTAAGGACCAGAGCGCCCCTGAAAAGAGCTGCAGCCATCCTCAGTGACAACAACGTTCTGAGCTCCTCCCACAGTGAGCACAGCTGAGTCCATATCAGGAAAACCAGCAGGAGAAGCTTCTCCTGGAGAATCAACAGTATTCCACCCCAGCTCTCCTTTCTATTCTGTTAGCAACAGTCCTCAGGTGAGCCTTCCACACCCAGAGCCACACTGATTCAGTTAAGCTGGGTACTACAAGACCACAGGAGTACTGCAATGAGTTCAAGGCCAGCCTGGACTACAAAGAGAGACCCTGACTCAAAAAACAAAATAAAACAAAACAAAAATGCTGAAGTCGGAGGGTAATACAGAACTCCGAGAGAAGGCTCGACGTGGAGGGAGTATTTTCAGTGAGATGGCCAGGGAAGTCCTCTTTGCAGCCCTCTGTGTTTAAGCTGATACCGGGAGGAACAGATGCTGACCACATGAAGAGTCACAGGAGGAGTTTTCCATGAGAGCAGATAACAAGCGCTAAGTTCTTAAGGCAGCAAGGAGCCTGGTGTGGTCAGAAACAGCTAACAGCCCGTACGGCTCGCGTGCAAAGGCACAGGCAGAGAAGGATGCGCTGCAGCACCGCAGAGCATGGAGGCGCTGACCCGCGCTGCGAAGGTAACCGAGATGAATCACCACCGTGCCCCAAATGAAGACAGTGACAGCGGTAGGGAAAAGAGGCCAATCAGGAACATACTTGGAGGAAGAACAGAAAAAATCACTCATGGGTTAAATATGGAAAGTAGGAAGGAAGGAACAGAAGAAATGAAGACATCTCAAACTTTTCATTTGAGCAAATAGAAGGCTGAAAAACACTTGGAGACAAACTCGAGGTGTCCGTATTTCTCATTTCACATTTGAGAACAATTTTTTATCTGCACGTTTTCGGTGCATGATGATTACCTTCGTTGTGGGGAAGGGATTCAGACACACAACACACCTCAATCCTTTCTTTTTCCCCTCCACCTCCAACCCCACATTTGTGTCAGTGTCAGGTTCATTTATTTACCTTGTAAATCCTTACAAAGTTAATTATCATATGTACAGATTAGCAACCTGGTTAATAAGCCAAAATATGCATAAAATACATAGCACAGTTATACTAAATCAAAGCACACTTTTAAATACTCAATCCCAGCTGGTTTACCATAACTTTTCTCTCTCTTTTTCTTATTATTTGTCTTCTATGTTGCACTTTATTTTCATGTTGAGTTTCTTACATAAGAGAACCACATGATACTTAAGCTTGGTCTGATTTATTGCACTTAATAATACAGTCTCAAAGTGCATCTATTTTCTTACAAAAGACTCAAGTTTATCCTTTTTACAGCAGAGTAGTACTCCATTGTGTATAAATACCACAATTTCTTTACCCACTCATCTTTTGATAGATGTGTAGCCTGCTTCCAAGATTTTGCCATTATGAGTTGTGCTGTCCTCAATATGTGTATGCATCTATCACTGTGGTATGATGCCTCCAATTTGGGGGGTAGATTCCTAGAAGAGGAATGGTTGGGTCAAATGGGATTTCTACTTTTAGTCTTTTGAGGAGTCGCCATACTGATTTCCATAGTGGTTGTACCAGTTTGCATTGTCACCAGTAATGAAGTGTTCATTTTTTCCCTACAGCCTTGTCAGTGTTTGTCATTGGTTAATTTCTTCATGATATACCTTACATTAAAGGCAGGTGTGAGACATTTCAGAGAGGGCACAAGACAGCCAACTGAATTTACAAGAGGAAAAGTCTGAGTTAGAGACACTGATATGAAAGTCATAAGCACAAAATGGCATTTTGAACCATGTGGTTAGAGGAGACCAACTCAGAAGGACAGCAGACAGAAGATATAGGAAAATTAGAGGGTATTTAGCGTGGAGTTGGTAGGAGCTCAGTGTTTGGGGTGGGGAAGAAAAACAATTGCTGAAAGTCATCAAAGTGTGGGCAATGAGAGTGATGAAAAGGAAATTTTTTCGAGGGGAGGGAAAGTGATTTCGTTCTTGGTCTTACTGAGACAGGGTTTTGTAAGACAGTTCTGGCTGGCCTTGAGCTCACTTTGTAGACCAGGCTGGCCTCAAACCTGCAGTGATCCTCCTGCCTTAGTCTCCTGAGTGCCAGGATGACAGGTGTGCACCACCAGGGGTGGTCAGGAAAGTATTTTTAAGATGGGAAAAGAGCAGCTTCTTCAGATGGAATAGGGTGAGAACCTAAAGGATGTTAGATTTGACAATTTGGAAGTGATCTCAGATAGTGAAGTAATTTCGGCTTTGTCTACTGTGAATACATCAGTAGCCAACTCTGAAAGGGTGAAAGAGTTTGTATGCGTTTTGGGAAAAGATCAGGCTATTGAGTGGAAACAGAAAAGCTAAGCTCCAGGAGAGACACAGTGATACTACATAGAAGAACTGAACACCCAGATGAGGTTTGTGATCAGGAATTTAAATAAGTTAGCCAGTTTAAATTTGTGATTCTCCTGCCTCAGCCTCCCAGTATCCTGGAGATGAAAGGCATGTCCCACCATGCCCAGACAGTGGTTTACTAGTACCTTCATCCTATTTTAGACAAATGTAACGTGAGAAAATCTGCCTGTTAATGACGCTAAACTCAAGTAGGCCACAAAAAGTTATTAAGTTTTATATAAGGATATGAGCAGTCAAAAAGGGGGATATTCCATACCAGGTGCCCAGAAGTCTGAATAATTACTAACAGTACATCACTGCTTTTGTATTCCTTCTATATATATAGTAATTATTGAAGATGAGGTTAAAATGTCCAAAGTAATAACTCCGTTATCTAACACAAAAGTCGCATGCTCTTCTAGTGTTCCCAGCAAGTGTGATAGCTTCCTGGAACTGCAGATAGCTGGCCTGGGGCTGTATTGGTTTTACAACAGTTAATAACATGGGAAGCACCAAAGCGAGGGTGACAACATGGTCATGTCTTTGATTTCATGGCTGACAGGGAGACTTCAAATCTATAGAAGATGGTCGAAAACCAACAGTAGTCTATGCCGCTCTGGAAACATTAGTAATAATAGGCAATCTTCTGTATCAATCTTTTAGTTTTTTACATTGACTGTCTCTGTCAGAGTCTTCCTACAGAGATTAGAAAACAGAGAAAACAAGACTTAGGATTGCTCCATCAGTAATTAAAATTAAGAAAAAGAACATTTTGTATGCTTTATTTATTTATTTGTTTGTACCAGGAATTGAACTCAGGACCTTGCACTTGTCAGGCAGGTGCTTAGGCCGCTGAGTTATATCCCTGGCTGCATTTTGTATATTTTAATTTCAGGGGTCTAAATTGGTGCTAGCAATATGTTGGCAAATCAGCTGGATAGAGACCTTGACTTGAGGTAAATGTTCGGGCTTGAGCTCCTCTCTGCTAGGCAACTTTACATGAAACCCTCCGGTTCCTTGAGCCTTACTTATTTCCTAACCTGTGGACATAGTTCCAGCCCCACCCTCCTCATAAGTCTGATGTGAGGAGCTAAGTGGGTGGACTACAGGCCGATGAATGTGAGTATTATTTCTCACAGATTGTCACCAGGAAGTTATTGACTCTCGCACTGGTTTTCAGAAACATTAGCCAAGGCCCAGCAATGTAAGGAACCTACCAAAGGTCACAAAAATGACACAGCTACCACTGGGCGCTCACTCACTAATTTTGTAGCCAAAGATTTCTCTACATCAGAAGAAGAAAGTGACATGCCAGAGTTTGCAAACAGCCAGTCATTTATTTATTCTAGAAATAGCAAGAAATTATAGTAAGGAAGTGTACTACTCAGCCCAGTAGTAAATAATTTTACATAATCATACTAATGCAAATTTTGATTATTTAACTAACATGTGGGAAGGACAGGGGCTTTGAGGGCAATGACTAAAATAATAAACCAAGTAGTGCTAACATGTTATTTAAAAATTCATATATAATTAGTGAAAGAAGCAGTTAAAAGAAAGAAAACATAATCAAAGTCTTGTCCTATGAACAGAGAGTGTAAGAAGAAGGAATTGCTGCTTTCCACTATAGGCTTTCAACTAGTACTTGGTTTTTCATTGTATTCATATATTACATTTATACATGTCAGAGATGGAAAATAGAGGCAAATTTTAAAAGATTACTGAAAGCTCTCTGCAAATACAGTGTGTTTACACTGAGTTGATGAAACCATTATACAGTTGATTATTTTATATTTCATATTCTGAAAAACTAGAAAATTTGTGTCTGGTAAGATTTCAAATATGTGAGAGGTTATTAGGTCTCTGCAAAGATTATTCTTCTGTACCTTAAGTCTGAAATAATGAACTCTTAGTCTGTGATCAGTATTTGTTTTTTTGAGTATTGCTCAATGTTAAAACAGAATGTTGGTTTTCCGCTAAAGAGTTCTGGTTAACACAAGAACTCACACAGCAGGATGAACATGGAAATCTGTAACAAGGCTGTGAGGAATCATGGTCATGATATGCCTGGAAATATTCCATAGTCTCATTTCCTTCAGTTAGGGGGTCAAACGTCACTAGGTATCCTGAACTTTAGGTACAGCAAATGATGCAATGAGGAGTGAATTCCTTCTGTGGGGGGAAATTAAATGACCAGGGAAAGATGTCTCTCCTGAGTCACTGTATGAATGTGACAGTACTGGGTCTGACATTGAAGATACCCAAAAAGCATAAGGGAAATAGGTGTCCTTAGCTAAAGGGACTTCTTTATTTTTAGTTGGCTGATTGATACCATGAAAATATATGACAATCAAATTTGCACTTCTTAACCTTTACAGAAAAGAGTTTTCTCTATATACGTGTGTATTTAGATATAAGTATACCTGTTCATATGCATTAGATACATAGTCAAAGTATGAATAGGAAAAAACTTCTGAATATTTTCATGCTAGCATACCAACATTTTGCTGTCTTTTGGAGAACAGCTTTCTTCAATGACATAGTCTTATCCTAGTATTGTCTCTAAATTTAGAAGTCATCTAATACCGGGTCTCCTTTACTAGTAAAATTTATCAAAGGCTAGTAATGATAGATGATCTTGGAGACTCACTGATTGGGGAAACAGCCAAAAGAATTTGAAATGAACTACTGGAACCTGAGTCCAATAACTGGGTTAAACACCAACTACAGATTTTGACTAGGGATTAATACTGCATTTCTTATTGGCCAAAGGGAATCCACATATGCTATTAAAAAGTGTATCATCACGGAATTATGGTTTGAGACGTGCAATCTGATCTTCAGCAGAAATTGTCATTTTATTTAATACAGAATAAAGCGTAAGCATTGTATGAAGTCGTATCCTACGTATACATTCAAGTCGGTGGGCAGGAAATAAATACTACTGAGGAGGCGGCAGAAGACAAGAAGCAGAACTGAAAGCATAGGGATAAATAGGAAGGGAAAAATGGGCATAAGTTACCCAGGAAAAAACTATTACTACTTTTGAGAAAGACAAGTATTTGTGAATCTAACATATTAGAGGGATGAAAGAAATCATTAATCCAATATTTAAAAAAATAATTTGAGGAATAGGATATAAATATATATATACATATAAGATACTTATATATTTATATTATATATATATATTATATATATATATTTATATATATGTATATTTTTTCAAGTAGCTCATATTGCTGACTCAGGCTTTTAACTCCACCTCAGTTGAAAACCTGACCATCGGAATGGTTCCTGCTTTAAAGGAGCTTGAAGTATTACATCTGATGATACATATTTTATGTTTCAAAAACCCTTCTAACATATATAGCACACTATTTTCATTTTCAAGACCCAACATCTGGAGTTTTGTGACTTTAAATCTGATGCAACAGTAAGTGTTAGAGTTCGGGTTTCACCCTGTTCTTGATTTTGGATCATCAGGTTTCGAACACCCTTGTTCAAACGCTCTTTCCAGATTTCTTGCATTTTCTACAAGCTGAAATTTACTATACATTTCTCTTCTCTTTTCTAGTGGAAATTATCCTATAAGAGCTGAGTTTCTCAACCTGTAGAATTCTACTTAACAAACTCGATAAAACTAATAATAAACTATACACATCTTGTCCGTAATGCTGTTTAAAATGAAATAAACCTAGCATTTCATTTTATATTTATCTATAATACGTTAATAATATTGAAATTTTCAGGAAAATATTTTTTAAATAATAAAACATGCAAACAATATGAATTTTACTACAGACTGCTATGGCAGAAAATCCCATTTGCTTTTAATACACTCTAAATCTATATTGTCCCTGATCTATGTAGAAAATAAAGTCTTAATGTTGTTGCCTTTGCTTATCACTTTTACTCATAGCGATTCTCTGAACTAAGCTAATAGTACTATCTGCATGGTGCTTTCTACTTATTAAACACTTGAATTATTAAAGTCTTTCTTTATCTTTCTTAGTACTACTTGTGACAACGTCAGCACTGATCTGCCCTTCATTCCAAGTAGAAGTTATTCCTTTCATTCTCCCCACACAAATGCTGTTTGCACAAATTGAATGAAAAGGAAGGTATAAGAGTGTCAGGAGGAAGGGGACTGCTCCATGGCCCTTCTTAGGGGCAGATTGCTCTCATGGCCCACCTCCAGGGGTGATGTCAGAACCACAGAACGACGAGGCTGAGTAAAACAGGCAGATGCTCCACACAGCGCTGGGTGAATAATGTAGGCAGCCCTTTCCCAGAAACCCCGAACAAGCTTCAGACATAAGTTAGAACTTGAAACCTCCTCTTTTATGGCAGTCATTACTTTTGGAGTTTCATATTTATTTTAACAAGATTTTTAAGTGAAGAGAAACCAGTTTTATTGATGTTCAAAATTTTTGAAGTACTAAGCCAAATTGTGTAAAAAAAAAAAAAAATACCATGCACACAATGGTCAATTTTCTTCACTTGAATACTCCTCAAAAGATGTTTTAAAGCCTTTTAATTTTAGCTTGAAGAAAATCTCTACATCTATTGTAAGCAACTCTTAGTAACGTCACCTACTTACCACCTTCAAAATTTGCTCACAGTCACGACTTATATTTCTGACACCTACATTACATTTCATGACTATCCTCTAAAGTTTGATTCTAAAAAGTAGTACCAGCATTATATTTAAAGTTATATGAATTTCAAACTAAATATGGCATTACAACAATAGCAGGACACCCAATCTTATCTTTCAAGCTGCTGTTGTCAGAATTTCTAAGTGTCCGTACATGTTTAATGAGTCACCTCACATGATGTTTAAACCCTTTTCACCTTTTTAACAAGGCTTCAGAGATGGTATGGAATTGGCATGATCTGTTAAGAATTCATGTAGCAATTTGACAGGCTCTTGAAGTTGCAAGCATAGTCTAATTATTATTTAAATAAAAAATGAACGTTATGCAGAAACCATTCCTAAAGTCGAAGGGGGACATTCGTAAGTATTAATGCTTAAGTATTATTTCAGCACACTGGTTTTCTTTTGCAAAAACCTGGAGAAAAACACGGTCATTGGCTTCTAATCTGTGGCTGTTGCTATTGGTCTGGGGATTGGACTGCGGAATGAATTGACTGCTAAGTGGCTTTTCCAGGTCTGGTTTTAAGGTCAGTGTGAATCATCCTACCCATCAGGAAGAGCAATGAAGAACTATAGCTTATGGATATTATTTTACTTGTTTCTAAATTTCGTGTGTGTGTGCACATGCATGAGTGTATGTTGGTATGTAAATAAGAGGTACAGTAGTGGCTTCAAGATGCTGTGTAAGTATGGGGAATAAGAAAGCTAATTTGGTCAAAGTGACAACAAACCTGGATGAGCCAGCCTCTCGTGTCCCTTCCTCTAAATCTCCTGTCTTGTCTATCTACGAACTAGTTACTGTCTTTTTCTATATTTTGCCCTTTCCACTCAGCACGATTCACCACATGACTAGGTCTAGCTTTAAATCCTTAGAATACTTGTTCAGCTATGGGAATGCAAAAGCCACTGAAAAGATCTTGGAAGTGCAGGAACTGGGACATTCAGAACTAAAAACAGGATAGTCTGGAAAAGCAAGGAAGTTTATCATCCTGGATAATATATACTGTCAAAAGCCAGGAACCTTGGCTGATTTTTATGGTACCTATGTCAGGTCTGCTGCTCTGAATCATGTAATTTCAACTTCAAACAATTCTTTATTTTACTGAACAATATATGACCTTACAGTAAAAATTAATGAGTAGTTCCCTATTTAAAAGGAAACAGGAAGAGAGAAGTTGAGGGCTAATGTATGTTTCATCTAGCAATCTTTTCCCTTGGAAATCTTGTGGATCATAATGTCGTGGTCACAAATGTTCATCCCGATAGAGTGTTTAATTACGTAAACAATACTTGGTGTAGGTTGCAAAGCCACTAAAATCACGGAGCAGAACCAAAAAATTTAATGCCATTTTAAAGTGCATGTCCACTGCCATTTCCCCACTGCCAGCCCCAAATTCTAGTTTCTGCTCTGGATAGATTGCCTATAAACAAACAAAAGAATACAGCTATCGTATATGAGGAACAACTAAAACTAAAATCCTTATACAGCGCTTTTGTGTTTTACTTTTCTCCCTTCCTTAAAATAGATGCTTCATCTTATTTTAATGGTCATGTCTTGGAGCCAGGAGGCAGCCCTTTCTTACTGATGGGGGCTCTACTTAACTGGTGTCTGTCATCAGCCTGACCTTGTAGCTTCCTCTAGAGCCATTATACCCTGGGTGCTGGCTTATTTTCATACACCAGCCCCCTCTGCTTGATCCCACTTCATCTACTTCACGGACACAGACATTTGTTGGGCTTATTAGCTCAGCAGGAGCCTTATCATATTTTGTATCTGAGGCTGTTGGAGACGTCAGGAGATGGAAACGCTGGGGAGCTTTTTATCCTTTTCTTCCTCTCACTTTCTCCTAGAGCCCAGTGCTGCATTTGGATTCCGAGCTCTCTCACTACTCGATGCTGAGATCTCTTTAAATATGTCTAGCTTTGCCATCTGTACCAATAACACCACAAAGGCTTAGCCATGATTAGGCTGTCAAGATTTATTAAGTTAAAAAGTATCAAAGTTTCTCGCTGCAACCCCAGACCTTTTAAGAGTCTACCTTCTTTGGAATCCTTCCCACCCTCCTCTCACTAACATCACAGTCAGTGTGCTTCGCTTGACCTTGACCGACATCTGCACCCGCGGAACGCTAATGAATTTGGGCCAATTCATCTCCAAACTCCAAATTTAATCAAGCTGACATGCTAGGGAACGCACACTAAAATGAACTCCTAGCATTTTAGGTAATCTGTACATTTTCATAAATTTCACCTGATAGGTTTTAGCTATGATTAACATTTCAGTTTCTTTAAAATGTTAAACTAATACATGCTTACTTAGTAGCTAATATTCAATATTAATGAATTGTGTTTATTTGCATAAGTGCTTCTGTGTGTGTGTATTTTTAATTTTGGAAGCATACAGAAACTAAATAAAACAAACATTTGCACTATTTAATAACAACCTATAGACAAAGTGCAAAGCTGTTACAAATTAATTCCGCTGCAGTGTTTATCTTTAAGATGCTTGAGTGCTATAGCACCCTTTGGAACAGTTATACATACATGTTTGTATGTGATTATAATTACATTTTACATGCTTTTACTTATAATTTGACTACCACTCTATACAAATGTCTAATACCATTTGCACAAGGTATTATTGCATTTTTTGATGTTACCTAAATAGGCAAATCCATAATCTGACAGAAGTTTTCACCTATCCAAATGAATTGAGCACTTCCCATACACTTATTGAAAATATTATTAATTATCATCAGCTGAAATCATAATCCAACTTGTCCTAGGTATGCCTGTAAACGTCTAAGTGTGCAAGAAGAAGTATATCTGTGGAGCTTTTTTTGTTCTAAAAAGAATAAAAAACACAAATGATGCAGAATTTCAAAACAAGATGGCAGGAAATTAACAATGGTTATTATATTGCATACTTTTATCTTCAAAATAGTTGCTCAGATTCTCAGACATAGGCATGTAAAATTGACCAAACAATAGAAGCAATATCTGTTCCTTTCAGTAAACTAATAGAAATTAGTAGTGCAATTATCTTAGCTATCCTGTGTGTATTTGTTCATATAGGTATATGTGTATATTTATTTGACATTAAATTAAAATAGTAGATGAAAGGCTGTCATTTCAGTCTAACATATCTATACTGTGCGTATTTTTTGAAAGAGAAGATAGCAGCTTAAAATGGAAAATCTTTAATTCCCAAAGTAGTCTGTACCATATAAAGTATTATTCTAGTTTACTTTAATTTTTGTTATGAACAGCTCCAAAGTTTAATTCTGCCTTATAACTATCCAGGCTTACGTCTGTGTCTACAAACATCTGGGGTTATAATCAATTGAGAAAAAAATCTACAAATTTTATGACAATTTTTAAATTGAATTGAAAGCTTTTCAATTCAATGAAGGTTTTTTATAAACATGCTGTCATTATACAGAAAAACTTTCAAGTTTTACTATAAAGTTTTATTGATCACACTTTTTAAACATCCACACAGAGCTCAGCCTCACAAGATCATGCTGTGTAAGGAGAGTTAAAACTTTAATACCTGCACAATTTATTACCATGTAGATTGATACACATCATATCCTTAATGTCATGCTTTTTTTACATGATGGAAAATTCTTCTAGAACATACCTGAAAACCATAATATGAATAGTTCTTAATACAGATATAAACATAACATGTATAGCAACATGTATAGCTAGAACAGGCATAACCATTAAATTTTGTATAACAGAACGTTAGTCATTTGGAAACATTTGGAAGAAATGGATGTTTCAGTTATGTTAATTGGAATAATGTATCCTAAAAATATTATAAAAGGCAGGTTATCTGGAGATAAACCTAAAATTTAAAGTTTGGAGATAATTTAGGGTTTTAGTACCTGTTAAGTTTCTCTCCATTTTCTAAAAAGCCAATGCCTATTTTCTTCAATAAAACAATAATATTTTCTCTTAATTTCAAGAAGGAATATTCAGAAATGAAATTTATTTGCTACCATTAAATCTTAAATCTACAATAAACTCTTTCAATCAACACACAAATATCCAAATTTTATTGTGGCTTCAGATATCATATAACAAGTACAAACCACTATGCTTTATTTATTTTAGTTTATTATAAATATAAATATATTTATTTAATATCTTTCCACATATTAAGAACCTTAGGTAAGTTTACTAATTAAATGTGAGACATTTAAAAACTTAAAAACATACAGATTCAAATTTGAAAAAAATTATTCAAATTAAATCATAAATTTGTGGTTGGCTTAACAATGGAGACAATACTTTTTGAAAAAGTTTTTCCAACTCTGTTGTCTTATTTATTAAATTTCATTGTTCTACAAAGTTTTATAAAGTGCAGGGGTAAAGATGGTGTGAGTTAGGCAGAGATGAAAAACATTGCTGTCTTTGTTTTCATTTTGTTTCCTTAACCTCATATGTTTGTGCTATACATGTGGGATACAGATATAAAAATATGAATAAAAGGAAAATTCTGGTCAGTGTTATCAATATTAACTGTGAGATTCTGGTTGGATTAAAAGCATTTTACATTTAAAAGGTCAGCAGATGCTACGTTAACATCATTATTTTCACTTAATTGCTAGGCAACTCTAAAAAAATAGCGTTTAAGGAATTATTAAAGATGGACCAGGCCTAATGTAAACAGTAGACTTGTGAATTCCAGAGATCTTCATGTGTTGAAACAGTCTTTCCTGGGTTTATATTTCTTTAATATTCACAACGGAGCCATGTGGAACTGACCCAGAAGTGGTGAGGGGAAACTCCTGGTAGTGTTTTGTTTCTATAGATAGAATTTTTTGGTCTATGGTGGTCATTTGTTCAGTATGGTTTAAATTATTTCAGAGGAAAAAATTAAGGCTGAAAGTGATTTCAGGGAAAATCTCAGTTATGTTCATGTTCCCAGTAGTGAAATTGTCATTTGCAGAGTGTATTACACTATATATATGTATACATATACATTCTGTCACATAGCTTTCTCATTTTATGTTACAGTTCTTTGACTTGCTCTCTAACATCAGCAGGTGAGGGTCAGGTGGCTCTGTGCTCAGGTCTTAGATCTTCCACTAGCTTATTTAATCTCTCTAAAACTCACTATCATCACAATATAAACGCAGGGTAAATATTCATAGCTTTGGGAATACACAAAGATGAAACAGTAACGCATACAGCACACACACAGTGCCTGGCTCACACACTAGGTGCTTTTATGATTTGAAACAAGGATCACTCCTTCTTAATTTTGTCTCCTTAGCTCATGGTGCGTAAGAGTTCAGTTGATGTTTGTTGAGCAAATGAATCATAAAAGAGTATTGTTAGAATTGAGGGTAAGAGTTAAGTGGTATGTTTAAGGTTGTACACCTGGGCATTAGTGGCCCTGGGAATTAAGTCCACATTTCCTAACTCTGAAGCCCAACATTTTTCCAGCTTGCTGCTCGTAAGAGGAAGGTAACCACTGTCTCGCCTTCCTGATTATTCCCTGTGTACCAAACCTTGGATCACTACACTAATTTCTTTTGCTGGCCTGGCATCTCCACCACAAATGTGTAGTAGCTATTTGTTATTTCAAGTGTTTAGCAAAACATACTCTCTGGTAGAGTAAAATCTCAAAAACCCAATTAAGTAGCATAGCAACTTGCCCAAACATACTCCATAGTGATGCACAGAAACTATCTCCATCATTCCTATCTCAAGCAGTGGCAGCTGGTCATAGATGTTAATTTTAAGGAGCAATAGCTCTCACATAATATATTATGCCATGAAAGGATAAAACAGTTGAATTTTTATTTAGCTATACTGTTACAAGTTAAAAACGTGCATGTTATTTCACATTTTGTTACATGCTAAACATATTATATCCCTGTACCTGGAGCCCCATATTAAAAAACCCAAGTCTTCAGAGTTGAAAAGAAAAAACTCCATAAACAAGAACACAGCATCAATATACTAGCTATTTTAAAACTACCCATCTAAAGGAGGATATAACATGAAAAAGTCTCATTACTATTGATAGCAACCAAATCAAACCAAACCAACAACAAAAAACACGTGTGCGCGCGCGCACACACACACACACACACACACACACACACACGACAAGCAAACAGCCAGTGAAAAGACTTAAAGTTTTGGACATTATAATCTCCTTTAGATGAATTTCTGTTTTACTGTCAGATGATTTATTTTATTTACTTAAAATATTTATAACACTCTTCAGTATTTTCAAAATTAAACTTTATATGAACAAGAAAGCCATACAAAACCCATCACTTGGGTGGAGATGAACAGCTATTGTAGAATTCTCAATGTATATGAGACATTTGTTTTTTACTGTAGTAGTATCATTCTAGCAAATAAATACCTATAGTGGTGATTAAATCAACCAAGGATGAAATCATATAGAAGACATATCTACATTTTATATATAGGATGAATATAAATGCCTAGATTTGAAACTCTCACTGGATGAAAGGGAACGGCATACTTTTATGGTTACTGCATTTTTGTTATTCAAAGAAGGAAGCCTGAAAGATACTGAGAAAGGAAGAAAGAATTCACTCTGCAACGTGTTCAGTGAAAAGTGCTGTGGACAAAAAATAATAATAAAAGGTCACAGTTGAAATTAAACTGCCAGGCAGTCTCTACATGGCCTGCTCATTATATATTTATTGTTTCTTGACTATGGAAAAATGATCATGATCATCATGGTTTTCACCTGACTTTCAAAAATGAATGCACATTATCTTTTGCATTATCTAAATAGAATAGGCTACGTTCTATGCAGTTACTAAACTTAAAATGATGGAATGTTCATTTGGCCTGTCTGTCTCACCCATCTTTTCTCCCCCTCCTTCGGCTCAAAGGGAGGAAGGGGAAGCAGGCTTTTTCCTTGGCAGGCCGGCAGGCAGGCAGGCAGGCAGTTGTCTCAGCAATCAATGCCAGTGTCATCTTATGAGTCAGCAAGACACATTTAGTGCTCTCTTGTTTGGGTCTAACTCTACGATTCCCTGGGGCTTTAGTCTCCTCTGGCCCGGTGCCAGAGGACTTTGCGCTGGTCCCCAAACCTCACGCCCTGGTTCTCATCCCGCAGCTCTGCCTCGCTGCCTACGTTGTCCACCTTGCAACACAGGAAATTTGTTTATATGGTCGTGAGTGTTCACTCCCCCCACCACGATGTTGGAAAAGAAAAACGTCAAACTAAAAGAAAATCTAATTTCTGAAGCGTGTACCCAAAACAAAAGCGATAAATTCAGTATGATTTTAAAGTATTTTCATTTATGTTTTCATCTATTGTCTTCAGCCCAAGTTGAAAAAAAACAAAACAAAACAAAACAAAAAAACAGCACAGGTGTTTTGCAACGTGCAGCTTAGGTCTGACATCTAGTTTTTGATGCTCAGGGTTAAATTCAAATCCACATGGCCTGGTTACCAATCTCCACAGTTGCACCCAGGAAGGGCTAGGAAAGATTGATGATTGCGATTGCGAGATTAATCCTGTAATGTTTACAAGACTCCTGAGCTGAAGCCTGGTTGGTCGTATCATGCTACCCAGAGAAGGCCGCTTGGCTTGCCAGGGTAATTTCTTCTGATGCAGTAAATAACGAGGCATAATGAAAATACTCTGATGTATTCCACTGCCTGATTGATGCTCTGCATGTGATACGGTAAGAGCAGTGCACTCGCTATCACAAATTTACATATACAAACCAGCAGAAGACTCATGATAATGTCAGCATCCTGCAGAAGCCCTGGGATGCTACACAATTTTATAACAGTTATGAATTACTGTTGACCTTTCTGGCCTCTTATACCGGTATGCTAGACTTGAGCATATTGAAAGTCATCAGTCTGAAGCATTCATTCTTTACATAATTACGGCTATTTGTGTGGGGGAGGGCAGTGTTTCTTTCATTGTTAAGAATTAGCATTAAGGGACAGCGCTGCTGTGACCTGCCGTGTTCTCCATGGCTTTGTACACAGTTTAATAAAAGCGGGAAAAAGGAGGCTGAAAATACTTTAGCATATTTTCAAAGCACAATCGCCCCAAAACAGAAATGTGAACTCTTTTTTAGAACTTTCTAAGCATTGAAGGAAAATGATGCCCGCAGCTTGAATTTATTTTTTTTTTTAATGTAGGGCTTAAATTAGTATTATTTTTTACTAATTCTCTATAATATTTAATTAAACAGTTATTATTTAATTTGTGGTCCGTGAATTGTAAAAATGGTAAGATCAAAGCAGAGGTCTGAGTCCATATAGAGATTAAATTTTTGAATTTATGCACATGGATTACTGAGCACAACTCCATACTTTATACTAAATATTTGAATAATCAGGCTTTTAGAACATCACTGAACATGGCTTCTTATTATCATTTGCATTTTAATGTCCTTAAAATTATTACACTAAGGGAAATGTTTTTGATACATTACAGCATTTCCTCTAAATGTGTGATTATGTTAATGAGTTTTCAATCAGTATCCTAGCCTGACACCATAAGAAAATTTATGCAAAGTTCATACCCTGTCAGGGCCTTTAATCAGGACCATTTATTAGAACCCTGCCTTCTTTGATGGTTGCTGCTGCCTTTATTAAATATACTGAGTGGGC